GAAAGGAAAAAAAAAAAAAAAAAAAAAAGCATAAATTCCACTTTCAATTTAAAGAAACATGCGATAAAATAGAGCCAGTTTATGAAACTTCTTATCTGGATGGGAATCAAGAAATGCGAAGTTAGAAATAGTTAAAGAAAAGTAACAATAAAGAAAAAATATTATTGGTTTGAAAAACCTTTGTGCACTCTTTTCGACTATAAACGATGGAATCGTCCATTTCGATATAAAAATAAAAAAGAATCAATTTGAACATGCTGGAATAAATGAAATGGCACATTTTTTTTTATACATGTCAAAGTGATGGAAAGAAAGGATCTCTTTTACGTATCCAGAAAGTTTGTAACTTTTTTGGAAATGGTACAAAAAAGAGTCTTTTTTTACAACGGAAAAACCCTTCTCTGATGAATTGTATAAGGATTGGAGTTACAACAATGAAAAACAAAGGAACAATTTAAACAAGGAGTTTCTAAGTAGAATCGAAGTTTTGGATAAAGGATCTCTTACCGAGATGTACTCGAAAAGACTAAATTTTGTAATGATGAGACTGAAAAAAATAATAGCTAAAATATATGATCCTTTCGCGTAGGATCTTCTCGTGGAAATGAAAAAATTATTTTCATGTAATCTTAAATGAATTTCTATCCAAATAACATAGGAATTTTTTGGATAATAAGATTCACGATCTACTTCTTATTAATGATTATCACAAATTTGAACTACAATGATAGATTGAGTAGGAATTATTTTCAAGAGAAAAAGAAAAGTACGTTCTTTATTTCCAGAACCCAACGGAGAAAATGATTCAGAAGATCGAATCAAATTTAAATTTTTATTTGATGCAGTTCTAACGATTCCCAATGCTCAAACAATTAGAAAAAAATCTTTGGAATAAAAGAAATTAGTAAAACAGTTTCTCGGTGGTCATACAAATTAGTGTCCAATTTAGACAAAAAAGAGAGCGAAACCGACGATAAACGTGGCCGATGGTCCTGGAATTAGTACAAGAACGCGAAACGAGGATTGATTTTTACTTATACTAATCAATACCAAATACTATATACTAATAACAATATAATAATTTCACAACACCAAGTTATAACTTTTATAATTTAAGATATGTCCTTCAATATCACGGAAAATCTTTTTCTTAGATTAAAGTAAAAGATTGTTTAAAAAAACAGGAATATTCATACGAATATAAGGCAACCTTTTGGAATTTTGGTTAATGATGGAAACCTGGTTAAGGGTCTATCAATATGATTTACTGGATTAGATGGCCTAGATTGTACCACAAAAATGGCGAAATGAGCGAATCAAGATTGTATGATAATAAGATATACAAATTTCATTGAAAAAAACCGTTAACTCATACCAAAAGAAAACAAAATCTTTTGAGCAGACCCATTACGGAATCAAAAATCGAATTTTCAAAAACACTATAGATATGATCTTTTATCATATAAATCTATTAATTGACGATAAAAGACTCGTCTATTATAGTCACTAGTCAAGTAAAGAATGAAGAAGAAAGTTTTTATAATACAACCTAGGGAAAGGAAAGTGATTTGGTATGCTGGGAAGTATACTATCAATAATTATCTAGGGGAAGACGATATTAAAGATATAGATAAAATTTTGAATAGAAAAATATTTGATTAGAGAATTCTCAATTTTTGTTTACAAATAAGATCATATTCAATCCTGGGGTATGGATACTAGTACCAACAGTAATCAAAATACTAAGATGAGGTGGATATATATCAAATATGATGAAATTAATAAGAAAGGTCTTTTTATTTTACAATTCATCAAAATGAAGATAAACCCATCCAACCAAAAAGGTTCTTTTTTTATTGGATGGGAATGAATAACAAAATACTAAATAGTTTATATCAAATCGAGAGCTCTGGTTCTTCCCCGAATTTGTGCTATTTTTAATGCATATAAAATGAAACCGTGGATCATACCATAAATTACTTCTTTTCGATTTAATGGAAATGCAAATGGTAATAAAAAGAGAACTGAAAAGAAAAAGGAATATCTTTTTATACATCGAATTAAAAAAAAATATCGAATTAGACAATGAAGTCAAGAAGAAAAAAAAACCCGCAAGCCAAGGAAATCTAAGATATGATGCACAAAAACCAAGTAAGTCTGGATAGTTCTCTCAAACCAAGAAAAAGATACATGAAAAATCGTAGAAAGAAAAAGCAATATAAAAGCAACACAGAAGCAAAGCTTGATTTTACTAAAAAAATATTTCATTTTCAGTTGAGATGGGATAATTCTCAAATGAAAGCTAATGAATAATATCCAAATCGATTGTCTCCTGCTCCAACTGATAAATCCAGAGAAATTGTTATATCTTATTTCAAAGGGGAGAAAAGTATCTGGATATTTTGATGACTGATCAGAAGGATTTAACTCTTACCGAATTGATGAAAAGGGGAATAATGATTACGAACCGGCTTGTCTGTTGTAAAAAATGATGGACAAT